AGGACTGTGCCATGCATGGCTTGTCATAGTTACAATAATCTAGATATTTTCCCCAAAAATTTTATTGTATTTTGACAAAATGTGATTAAGTGTCAGCCTCACATAATGCTATGTGCATTTTCTGTTGGTTATTTTATTTTGACTTGAGATCAGAAAATAATTCACCTCATCAATTCCAATGAAAATGAACTCTAAATCACAAAGTTTTGCAGCAGTAATCATTTCTCTGAGGACCTGGAACCAGGAGTTGCGGTGACTTTTGTGAAATTTGTGTTCATGAATGCCATAAAATCGTGATATCACGAAAATTTCTAGGAGTGAAAAACTAAACCGTTTATTATAGTTAAAACTGAGTTGTCTTGTAGTCCCTGTTAATGCAATAACATCCAGTCATATACATTATAGTACCATTTATACATACATTTATAGAAAAATACAGTTATATTGTAATGCCTTGACATGACTACCATTTCTTGTTGTTTTTTTCATTGTTAGACATTCCTTTACTGCCAGCTATCAGTTCCATGTCTGGAAGCGGTGAGGGCTCATTTGTGGTGCACTGGTTGAACAACAAGGAATTCCAATTCACACTGTCAGCTGAGACAATTATTCAAGATATCAGAAAGAAGGCAGAGGCATCTGATACATCGGAAAGCAAAGAAGATGTTACTGACTCGTTCTCAGATGTTGATGGTAAAGCATTTATTTTAAATATAAAGCTATATTTTTGATTGGTTTAAGCAGAACATATTCAGAATACATGCAAACATTCTAAAATGTGAATGTAAACATGTATTCAACAATTCATATTCTGTACTATTTTTAGTCCCCGTTCGAAAACAGGGACTTATGTTTTTGACCCTTGTGTGTACGTGCGTCTGTGTTTCTGTGCGTCTGTGCGTGCATGCGTCCATACCTGTATCTTAGTAATGCCTGGACCAATCACAATCAAACTTCACACATACATCATACATGATATTATACATATGCACATCAATTTGTTTTATGATCTGATTCAAGATTGCCGAATGGCGCCATTATTGTGCTAAAAAATCATCAAAATCAAGCATTTCTCGGCTGTTTACAAATAGATTATTTTCAAACTTGGTATATACATTGGACATTGTTGGACTTGATGCAAACAATTTTATTTTTCAGATCGGATTCAAAATGGCTGACTGGTGGCCATTTTGTTTTAATGAATGGGCTTCTAGACCCATATCTCTGACTTGATTTGACTGATTATGTTCAAATTTTATTCGTTATACATCATGTTATAGATATATACATGTATTCAAAATGGCTGATTTTGTTTTAATTAATGCTGTTCGAGAGCAATATCTCCCAATATGGACAAGTACTTGTTTGACGATCAGATACAAATGTCAATCATTTTAATGTTAAACAATCATCATAATCATATTCCTGACATGGTTATATTCCAGCTATATTACCGTACTATAAACAAAACTATATATTTTAAATTTGATAACTAACGAGGACTGTGCCATGCATGGCTTGTTACTTTTATTTACAGATCAAGACAGTAGTAAAGACCTGATAGAATTTGATGTCAAACTACCAGGTAACTTTTTCATTCAGAGAATTATAAACAATTATCAATTTAATTTTATTTTAATACTGATTCATAATAATTTATTTAGATTTTACCAGAGGTCAATATTGGTTGGCAATACAGTTACCCAAAAAATGTGCTTTATACACACAATGTACAGTTGTTCATGAATCAAATCTCTGATAAACCATAGACCTTAGAAAAGGTCTATGGATAAACTGAAATCACAATCAGAAACTAATTTGCTGGTTTCATTGATCATAAATAAAATCACTTTTTTTGATTTTCATGATTTTAAATTAATTCAGAGATTTCAATGATAATAAATTAATTTAATTGGCAAATGTTTTAAGAATTATAGATCTATCCATTTGTATATTGGATATTATCGGTATGTATGTCGCACAATAGATATTCTTTGTTCATATAAAGTATATATGTACTGCAATTTTGTCTCACCAGCTGAGGACTCATCCGTTGGAATGCAGTCAAGTTCAAGTACGTCTGGTATTCAAGAGGACGCACCACTCAGTGACTTTTCAACACAAACATCTTCTAAACCACTGGATCATATGATTATAACCGATGCACTCTCTCAAAAACTCGGTGAACTATTGAGAGAATGGAATGAGTGTGCAGACATGGTGTTCAGTATACACCCTGTAGATGGATCTTTCCTGGTTTGGCTGGTGGAATATCTCGATGAGTATCTGCCGTCTTGTTTTCGGCAAGCCCAGATCAGTTTCTCCTGCAGGATTCCCATGGCATTTCCTACCGGTGATGCCACCACAATGTGCGATAGTCTCATATTGTACCGCAATGGCATCATACAAGAGTCAAAGATGGCGCAGAAGCTGAGTGAAAGCGGTAAAGGCTCAATTGCCGACATGGAAAAACTTTCTCCGAGCTATAGTTTTATGCACAGCCTAGCAAAACTCAAACAGGGTGGTGTTGGGAATAATCTTATCCCACAGAGAGTATCTATGTTATCAAAGCACACCAATGGAACATTGAACCAATGGGAGATTGGTTTTGCAGAGAATTCAAAATTTTCTACAGTGTTGAGTATTTCTCATTCCTCACGATGTTGTGGACATAAATTTCGAGTGAATGACTTGGCATGCCATCCTGTGCTGCCTTTATTACTGACAACATCTCATCACAACATCCCAAAAGTTGACATCGACCCAGTAATGTGCCGAAGTAGAAGTGCATCATTTGCGAGTACAAGCTCACTTGGAAAAAGTATGTCTGATCAAGAGAAAACAATAAAAAGTTCCCCTCGGAGCTCAACAAGTGAACTCAGAAGCCCATTAGATAAATCTACCATGGATCTTCTCAGTGATAGGATAGGATCTGAAATGAATTGGCCGGATTTACGAGCTCCGACCGGACTATGTAGCGAATTAATCTTATGGCGTGTTGATCCTGTTGGACCGCTTTCAAAATCCGGTGGTTTGAAGGAACTTGCGCGAATTAATTCTCCATTAATCTCGGCATTTTCAAATATAGCATGGCTGCCAACATTACTTCCGAGTTCTTCCTTAGGACCAGTGTCCAATTCACCCAGTGCCTGTTTTGTTGCATCCGATGGTATCTGTCTGCGACTTTACCAAGCTGTTATTGATGCAAGGTCAATTTTAATTGAGGTTGCCAATAACTATGAACAGCCAGAGGTAAGCTATTTTTGTTTCAGATGCCTCATATTTTAGTTTGGTCGCATGTTCTTTGTGACTAGCTACATGGCCGCCTATATTTCATTGTAAGCCCAAGACTCATGGAGCAGTGCCTGTCATATGCCAAATGTAACACTCTTTTTATAATATGTACTTTTCTGGGTGGAAGTCTTTTGCAAATAGCTGCAACTTACTAAATATTTTCACACATGCATCTTTGGAAATTTTCTGTACTTAGTACAAAATTCCATTTGAAGCATTTGTATTTGAAGTCAACTGCCTTTGTTTCCTGTATGGTTTCTATTGTTTAGGATTGACCTGCGTGCCAAGAAATGTCACTGAGTATTAAAATCCATCAGAATCTAACATTGATCAAATTAACTATAAATAAAAAATAACTTTTAAAAAGGATGCTGTCAGACCCTCGGATATTCCATGGCATGATGGGACAGCATTGTCCACATTGTTGAGTATGCACATTAAGTTTTCAATTATAATGTTAAAATATGTGTGCATGTTGAAGTGTCTGAAATAAAATAAATGCGATTATTAAAAATTGTTAATTCAGCATAGACTGTGTTGTATGAGTTACGCAATATTCAGATTATATTCTCAGGAAAACAACTCTTTATAAACTTTTTTTTCTTTTTGACAGGCGTACATGAGTAGTTGTTCATCTCTAAATTCTCTTGTGAATGCTGGGAAAGCTGATGGAGTCCTCAATGGTTTCAAAATAGTCAGTTTACAATCTACAGCAAGACCTGGATGTATTATTGAATTAGATCCACTAACCGATGCCAAACAGGTGACCATATTTACTATCAGGCATTGCAATAGTGACAATTCATCTGAAGTTCTTTATAAAAACACCACACTGACTTATTCATTTTGTATGTCTGTGGACTTCAATGACTTCCATGAAATCTTGTCCTAAAATCATGATAATTTGTTGAATAAATTATCAACTAATGTGTGTGATTGATGTTGATATTTATTCAGGTCCATATTAATTTGCCAATACGCATATTAATCATATGTAAATCATAATTTCTACTTACATAAAAAGTGAATCACAGAAATAACACCAAATACACAGTAGGGTAAATGTATGTTATTTTGATTAACCTAGTATTTACCCTGTCTTGTATTCTGTGTATATTTCTGTTAATTATTTGTATCTTAATGCACAGTTACAATATCATGCATTTCTATTGAGAATATTGAATTTTATTGTTAATAATATCTAATTGTTTTCTATTTTGTAGAATTGGCAGAACGTACAGTTTATGCATGTATTCCAACAACAGTTTATAACTGGCACTTCAGCTTCCAACCCTGCACCCACCCACTATGAAGAGATGCCTGGCGAGCCAAACAAAACAATGTCCTTCCACTTTGAGGAGACGTTTTATCTTGTTGTGGTTGAGAAAACCAGAGGGGGCCATTCAACCATACACATGTGGTCTATAGAGTTAGCAGCACAGCCAATCACCCCAAGAGGTTTGTCAAACTTGTATAGCAAATTTTGATCTTTAAGATTTGGCCAGATTAGATATTTGTAGATTACTAAGCAAGAAATATTTCATTTGAAGGGATTTATTGGAATTTTTATTTTTCTCATTTCAGCTAGTACAAAAGATGGCGAACAGTTCCAGTACGAGGACAGCTCCCCAGACGTTCACCCTGTCTCATCTTCAGATGAATCGTCTAGAAGTGAAAGCCCATTGCAATTCCAGGCACTTCCTCATCACGTGCAAACAACAAAATTGTGTATCACATCAAGTAAAGTCTGCTCTCACAGATTGAATCTCCCAGAGGGAGTGGATATAGTAAGTGCAACACCAGCAGCAGGCCACTTAAGTTCATCTTCAATTTACCCAGCATGCACGGCACCTTACCTAATCAGTGCTGCATGCTCAGATGGCAAAGTGCGGTTCTGGCATTGTAAAATGTCTGATAGCGGTACGAAAGCTGATAACCCAGCGTTCTTTTTAACCACTGCAAGTGACACCAACATAAAAGGTCAAATAGATGACGTCTTCAACACTTTGAACTATCAGTGGGAGGAGTGGGAGTTAATCACCCAGAAAGCTTCTTCAAGTGCTGTGGAAGTGGACGGTAAACCTCTTACTGTGAGCTGCGCTTATAACAGTCGGTTTGCGTGTGCTTACAAAGTCGATGAGATGATTCATTCTGACCGGGAGAATAAACTAAATATATCAGTTTCTGTTTTTGAGTGCGAGTCTACTGGTGGGTCCAAATGGCTGCTTGAGGATTCCATCCATATTGGAAAGGTCACTATTCCAGATTTTCCTGTCACTCTTGAAATTGGAGGACTTGAAACTCAAATCCTAAATTACAAAAGGATGAAACGAAGTTCAAAGATTGAAAATTTCTCGCAGTTTGGTGAACATCAAGATGAGAATCATGTGCGGGATAACAGTGATTGCAGAGACAGTAAAAACTCCATGCGGCAAATGATAATGCAGAAAAGGATGGTCCAGCTTGACTGGGTTTCCAAAGAAGATGGTTCTCATATTTTAACTGTTGGTGTTGGGAATAAAATCGTGATGTACGCTCCTGTCTCTGGTGAAATGGCAAATCTGTCACAGTTGGCATCATCAAGTAATAAACAGAAACAGTCTTCATTTCGCAATCCTCTAATAAGTCAGAAAAGTCTCCATGTTGCTCCAACACTACCACATGAAGAAGAGGGGTTTAAACCAAAGTGGGTACCGCTCAGAACAGTGGAGCTGTGTTCAGCAGATAGCCTTCCTCCACTACCAATGATGTTATCATGGGTGAGAGATGGTATCTTAGTTGTCGGAATGGAAAGTGAGATGCATGTTTATTCACAGTGGAAGAGTGATGATCATTCACAGGTTAATGTAGCAGAAGAGAAATCTCCAAAAGACTTAATAGCAGTTTCCAGCACACAGTCAATCCCTCTTACAATCACAGAGAGAAAGGCACACTCTAGTAGCAGCAGATCTGATTCGGAATCACAAAATGTACAGAAAACTGGTTCCAAGAGTGATGACTCCAAGAGCAACTTGATTCAGCAGTGTGGTCTTTTTGAAGCAGCACAGCTTGTGTCGCCGGTACTTCCACAATATCATCCTAACCAGCTTATGGAATTGATGAAATGTGGTAAAATCAACCGAGTTAAAGCAATCCTTGCTCATCTTGTCAGGTGTGTTGCTGGAGAAGATGCAGCGACAAAGGCTGTTGTAATTGGACACAGTGAACCACGTCCAAAACTACATGGTAGAGGCCACAATCAAGCCCGTCACAGCATCAGTGCTAGTCCTGCTGATGTATCAGTACTAACAGAGGAAGAACATCTTGACTACATTGAAATCACATCTATTCCTCCACTGCCATTGTATGCTTTAATGGAAGCAGATCATGCTGAGACAGGTTCCAGTTCAGAAAAACCTGACATCAATCATGGTAGCTATGTCAATGATTTGGCACACCCCGATGCTGAAAGTGACCATGAATATTACGCTGAGTTGTTTACTACTCCCAATGTACATGATGATGAGTTGATTTTAGGTAGCCCGCCGAGAAGACCTGAGGCATCACCTGAAGTGACCATGAGACTTCGTAACCCAGCGTATTTTGGATTAGCACAAGTGAGGTTACTGACCAATCATCTGACACATGTTCATCTTCCAGGTTTAACCAGTATTGAACAGATGTATCTGTTGGCGTTGGCCGACACTCTTGCAACCACTCATATGGATTTGGCTGGTAGTAAAACATCAACAACCACAGATGGTGAGTAATTACCTGTCTGCATGCTTTATGTTATACATGCCCTTCCTGTAAATTAGGAATTGCCATTTATATATTGAGTAATTAAATCATGAATAGACTGTTTTCCATTCCCTGCAAGATCCTATGTTGTTCATGAAATGAAACGTCAAACAGAACAACATAGTGGCTTCAAAAAATTGATAATGGTTAAGTTTGCTGGAATAAGGTTATCTCAGTGTCAAATTCCTGTCTGAAAGATCGGCATTTTGACTTGCTTAAAAAAAGTTCAAAATTCAGTCTGTGTCTTTCTCGCAATTCGCAAAATCTCACAGTGAACTAGTATACACCTCTAGATAAGATACAATGTACAAGAGTGGCAGAGTTGCAACCAGTGTTAATCTTACAATGGTCAGAATACTTGGCTAAAGAGCATTCTGATTTGTTGAGTATGCACTATAGTGTGTTGTCTCATGTAAACCAGCTTTAAGATTGCACTTAAGTGTAAATAGTTGATAGTGTAAATGTTGCTATGGTTTTCCCCTCAAATTTGGCATTTTCTATTATCATGAATTAGTGTGCAAATTGAATTATACTTAGAAATTGAAATTTTAATCATCACTTTTTGAACAAGTATATTCTAAAAAAAATAAGGAGTACGAGACGTGTTTCCTTCGAATAGCAGGACAAATTTTGTTTCTCTACTATGCCTTCTTGAATAGCACTACTTACTGAGTTGGTGTTACAAATTTACTTTGTTCTTTGACATATTTGTTATTTTAATTGTTTAGGTACTGTGCTTGGTAAGGAAGGAGCTGGCTATGCTAGTTCTGGTAGATTGAGCACTAATAATGAAAATGCAGGTAAGATCCACTTTATCATATTCAAGAGCTATGTCGTGACATGCTTTGACCACTCACGTTCAAAATTTACATAATTCTTAAACTTGAGAACTCACATGGACTATGTAATGCAATTACTTGTTGTACTTAGTTGTAGCTGTATGTTTATTAGCTTCATTTTTGTTCCCACCTTATTGGTTGGTTTCCATGACATTCTTTTATTTGTCCACACCCATGAAACAGAACCAATGGCAGAATTGCTGTCATCTTGGTATCTACATGTTCATGTCCATTCTAACACATTTTTTGAAAGAGAAGTCTGGGCCATGGTAATTGAGCTTGTGAAAAACAAAATGAAATGGTTTTATGAATGTCCATGAAATCAATCCCTTCCTTCCTATCATAGAATTGACACACGTCAGTAGCAAACCAATAGTATCATTCATATTTATTACTTTTATTTAATTACTCTTTTAATCAGCTGATGCACTAGATGAATGTGGTCTGAGATTTCTTTTGGCGATGCGACACCACAATGGTTTATTGCGAGCACTTCCACCCCGGCTGCGGTTCCAGCTACAGCAGCAAGGCTTATCGACTGCCTCGTTTGCTTGGGCATTCCATTCAGAGGTACAGCAGGAGATTCTAGCCATGATACCAGCAATGCAACGAGGTGATCCTCAATGGGCAGAACTGCGAGCTGTCGGAGTCGGCTGGTGGATACGGAGTAATATAACCCTAAAGACATGCATTGAAAAGGTAGTGTATTGGTACACATAGTGAATGGGATAAACCATTGCTATGATTGGGGTAGTGACACATATTGGTACCCATGGTTTATGAACTAGCCAATTTTTACAATTTCAGTGAATCTTTCTGCATAGATGCTCCAAGATAATGCACGGACCTTAGTTTTTGGTAGAAATCTATGCATATTAATTATCTAATTAGAAGATTTTAGTTATCTACAGGTATCTCAAGAACCACTCATCAGATTTTGATAAAACTTGGTGTGTATCTACTTTGGGTAATCAACAGACCTGATTAGTGTAGTTTTAAAATCCATTCATTATAATTACATAATTTGCATAATAACTGTTAGATAGTTTCCTTATGGATTTAAAATTTATGGTTAAAATTTATGAATACTAATTGTCTAATTTACATAAATTAGCTAATTTTTAGCTAATATTTAATAGTCACATACCTGATTACTTTAGGCTTGCTATCTATGCAATATACAATATATAATTTGCATGAATTTGAAAATTTTTCATTATTTCAAAAACAAACTCATTAGATTTCAATGAAACTTGGTACTCTGGGTTAATCCCCAGATGTGATAAGGTTATTTTAGGTAAACCATGATGCATATTAGTTGCCTACTTTTTGTAAATTAAGACAATTTCTTGATATTGATGCACACATCAGTGTTCTTTGATAAAACAGAATACAACCCATAGATGTTTATCAAATCTATTCTTTTATTTTATTATTTCTGTTTTCTGTTTACTTATTATTTTAAACTTCAATACTGGAGATCAGATTGCTTTCAGGTAGTGCGTCAGAACTATAGCCAACAGCTTTCAGCTTTAAAAGGCTAAATGTTTAAAATTTTCTTATTTCTACTTTATATGCCTTCAGTACACAGAAGTTTTTCTAAGCTTTCTCTGATCTGTTTTCAATTTCAGATTGCTAAATCTCAATTCCAGATGAATAACAATCCTCTTGATGCAGCTCTATTCTATCTTGCCATGAAAAAGAAGTCCCTCCTGAGTAGTCTGTTTAGGTGAGTCATAGTAAAGAGTCGGTGAGTTCAGCACACCTAGCATGTTGTTAAAAGTATAGAGCCAATGAGTTTAGCACACCTAGCTTGTTGTTAAAAGTGTAGAGCCAATGAGTTTAGCACACCTAGCTTGTTGTTAAAAGTGTAGAGCCAGTGAGTTTAGCACACCTAGCATGTTGTTAAAAGTATAGAGCCAATGAGTTTAGCACACCTAGCTTGTTGTTAAAAGCGTAGAGCCAGTGAGTTCAGCACACCTAGCTTGTTGTTAAAAGTGTAGAGCCATTAGTTTAGCACACCTAACTGTTGTTAAAAGTGTAGAGCCAGTAGTTTA